AACTAAGATTTCTTTAGTATTGTTTCTGCAAGTTCCGCTCATTGCTTTTCACATTTAATTCCCACATATACTGGAAATAAATATCGAACAGTGCCTCGGAAAGCAATTCAATTTTATATATCGTCAGTACGTTTTGCCAGAAGTCGGATCCTTTGAACTTTTGTGAAATCTAGTAACATAAAGTAGGTACCCCGAGGCATGCTTAGTTTACTAACATTAATGCTAACGTTAATGCCCTTTTACACCAGATGTGAATGCTGTGCCCCTTAGACACCAACGTCTATCCTCAACTAAAAGTCAAAATGCAAGTGCATTCCTATCCCTGAGGACCGAAAAGGAATGCCTTATTAGGTACCAGTAAAAATAATCTCCGGTTCTGACTGTGATTGACTATGCGTAAGAAGGCAGCATGCTCTATCTCTGGTTAATCCGACCCATTATAGCAGTAGCTACAATATGCAGTGATAATGTTCTGCCACAATATATATAAGAAACCTGACTAATGTTTCCCACAAACACGCAGTGCGTGTAGGAAATGAGAATTTAGAGGAAATGCCTTACCGCTAGTAATTATACTAGTTTTCCGACTCATCTAACAGGAACGCATAAGTGGATGCTTTGATCCTTACCGGATAAAGTAAGAGGGTGTTACCTAGCGAGACAGACTCCTAACCGCTAAAGGAATTCTTCCAACTCGTGCTTGTATTGGCTACCTAGCAAGAACACGTTAGGTATCTTTTTTATAGAATAAGGGTGACAAATGTGCACACAGTCCACCTGATGGTAAGTGGATGCTGTGGCCCATAGACATCCACATCTATCCTCGATTACGAATCAAAATGCAGATGCGTTGTCACCCGTGAGGACTAAGATGGAATGCCTCGTTTCCAGTAAAAAGGGTCTCCGGTTCTCTACACTCACGATACGAAACATAGCAGCATTAAGCTACTATTTGACGCTGGTATTCTGTGAGAGCGTGGTCCTTCCCCGGTTGAGTCGATCCATTCGTGCTGCAACTATACTACTAATATAACTGCAGCATGGCTTTACCACGTATAAAAGTTTTAGAAGTAAATGCTTTATTAAATTCATTGTATATAAGGGTAGATAATACTGTATATAAATAATCTAAATTGTTCTACCAATTAAGTAATTGTTGCGTGTGTATGGTTTTTTACCATATTGCTTCTAAATCTCTCCAGACGATTTTCATTAACCGGAACAAACATATTTTTCTCCACTTCCTGTTTTTTGTGCATAATGAAACCAGTTATCCACAGTTAGTACAACATCTGTAAAAATATTAATAATACAAATTGCACTACACCCTGCAATATGTGTAGCCCTTTTTGTTTTTGTTTTGGTTGTGGGATTAAAGATGGAAAAAAAAAATAATATTTTTTTTTATTTTAAAGGGGGGGGGGGGGGTTGGGCCATACCCCCTTTTTTTTTGTTTGGGTATGGTGCTTCAAAGAGATAAATTATTATTCCCATATGTATGAGTTTTTTGTTGAATAATTAGCAAAATTTAATCCTGATGGAAGAAGCTTCTAGGTGATTGATGTTAAAATCTAATAAAAACTTCTTCCGTAATTTATTCAAAGTTTTACCTTGAACAGGGGGGTCTGTAAACACTGGCAACAGTGAGGTGCTCAAGCTCAACACATGTTCTTTCTACAGTTCTCTCAACAGAAAGAGTAAAAAGAACAAAAGCTATATTTTGTTTATAAATTTTGATGATGTGGGTAAGCTTTATGATCACGGTCATGAGTGTATGCTGTGGACCACCAGCGATATTACTTAAATATTAAAGGTTGATACAGAGAAAAAAGGCTATAAACCCAGGTAGCTGAGATTCTTTGGTAGATTTCCAGTGAGAGACCTTACGAACTATAATCAACACGTAATGACCGCTTACCGCTTGACAAGGAAATCGACTTCGAGTTCCTGAATAGAGCCTTAATATCAACCTTCTTGTATAACAAGATCATAGCACTTCTGCGCCATACTTCCGATGTAAGGACTTGGATTTTTTTTTACTTTAGTTATTTGATAATAATCTTACATTATTGAAATTGATATAAAGTTAGTTAGTTACAAAAAAGTTACAGCGTATATACGTCAAGTGGACACAGGCCACCCCTCATTTCTGAGAGGGTATTAGGGCAAGGAAGTGTCTGCCGCGCTGCCCCAATGCGTGTTGGCGAACTTCACGTCTTCGAATTTTTTTTTCTTATTTCTTAGACATGAAGGTTTCCTCACGAAGTTTTCCTTCGCCGCCGGGCACGTGGTAAATCAGCACTTAAAATTGCAATTAACAATTTCATTGGTGCCGGCGGGGATCAAACCCGGTTTGCTCGCGTACTGTGAAATTTACAGCGATTCTACTGAACTATGAAATTTATAGAGTAAGCGCTCGTGATTTAAATTGATATAATCTGTTATAAACATAGCTTTACTCTCAGAGTATTTATAAGCAAGCTATGCTTTAAGGCTTTACCATATACTCATAGATTTAGTACTAACTGACGTTAGAACTATACTATATACTATATCTGTGCGTATACGGTTGCCATCAACAATATATATTATAATATTTTTATACCTACTAATTTATATTGTACATCATAATATTGTGATACATGTATTAAAACGCGCTCCCCGTACAGTTAAGAAAACGGTATGTCCTCCGGTCCTAGTGACGTCATTCACCAGTCTCTTTCCCGGAGCTTTGCGGATTTTAAGATTTTGGTGAAATGATTTCTTAAATTTACGCGAACACTACACATTGAATAAAACTAAATTTACGGATTTTATCGCGTTTATTTCACTACTTTTACTTATTTTTAATTCCCGACGTTTCGGATGCTTTACAGCAACCATGGTCACGGGGGGACTGAGATGTTTGACGTCCCAATGTCATAGTTAGTCCGGCTACCTTCAGTTTTTGAATATTAATTTTTGGTCCGATTTACGCAAAACGAGCTTATAGTATCATGAAGTCTTGCAGTGGTATGCTTAGGTTTGGGTTTAATTTTGTTAATTATTGTTACTGAGAATTTCTAAAAAAAAATTGAGAAGAGTTTTTAAAAATCTAGAAAAAAGAAGAAACTTAATAATTGAACCTCATGACGAGGAGTCGCAATAACAAATGCTATATCAACGAGACAGCAAGAGAGCAGAAGATGACTGTACTGCCATTCGTAAGCCACAAGAACTTTCTAGCACATCCCAGTCTTAAGACACCCACGAGACGAAATATATCGGTAGATTCTCTGCCGCCACTACACAGTAACATCTTCCTGTCAAAAACTTAAAAGTATTAGGCCCAATGACCTTAACGCTTTCGAGAGACTTATGTACTGCGCCCCGAGTATCCGTCACAGGGGGTGCTTGTCGCGGGGTGCTAGTGTAATTTTGGATATTACTTTATTATTCACAAATGGTATATGAAATTAACGCCATGACGGGTAAATTTTTTAGGGTGACCAGTTAGAAAGATTTAGACTAACAACAGTTTGTAAAATGCTAAATGATATCAAAATAATTGTATGTGAAGAAATATATATATATATATATATATTTATATATATATATATATATATATACGTGATAACTGTACGAAAAAGAAATTCCTACGTTGAACAAATTACTTGTCGAATTGCGATATGAAATAAATTTACAAGGTGTGTGTACTACACTATGGAAAATGTTAAAACGACTAGGATATAAATACAAAACTTGTAAATCAAAACGAAAAAATGTAGTGAAACCAACAGATATATCTGCCTGGCGATTTAATTACTTGAATAAAATTGAAAGAATACCGAGAAGAGAGCCGGACTATAGTCTACTTAGATGAAACATTTATGCATTATTCTTATGGGGTCCCAAATTTGGCAGTCAGTTTCTGAAGATGGTGTATTGGTCAGAGGATTCAGGTATATACACAGATTCAGGACTGCTTTATTAATAATGAGTTACTGCTATTCAAGTCACAAACTAAATCATCAGACTACCATAACGACTGTTTTACCAAACCTGCCACGTTATTGTGTGATTGTGATGGACAATGCACCATATCACACTGTTCAAACATATAAAAGCCCTAATTTGGCAAGCCTCAAGGTAGAGTGGCTTCAAAACAAGGGACTGTTGTTTTCACCAAATTTGCCAAAAAATGTTTTATATGAATTAATAAAAAAAATAAACCAAAGCCCATATATAAAGCTGAAAAATTAATTAAATCACATGGTCATAATGTTATGCAACTGTCCCCATATCATGCGCATTTAAATCCAATTGAGGTAATGATGATCAAAAGTAATCACTTATAAAAGAATTGTTTGGCTCAATAAGCAATCAGCTTTGGAATAAAGAGTGCTCACATGTTACAAAAATTGAAGATGAGTACATAGTGAAAGAGAGGAAGTGATCGCTTTTATTGTGGGTTAGCAGTGACACTGACGAAAGTGATAGTGACAATGAGCATCCAAGTAACATTGAAGAAAATATGATCCCTTTACACCTTATTGATCATAATTATATAAAGTGATTCTTTTAACCCTGTCTTAATTAATTTAACCTGAATGTCCCCATTGATATATGAATTGTTTCAGAGAGTACACTATGACACTTAAAAAGTCACATAAGTATAGTCATCAGCCCCTCCGTAGTAACAGTTGAAATTCGAAATTAATGCTCTTACTCATACGAAATAAAGACGTTTTTAAGGCTTAACTGTTAGCGCTAATTGCGTTTGACTGTACATACCAAGTTTGAACCCGCAACCTCGTGCTTGAAATGCATGCATACATGCTCTTATATCCCGTTCCATAATACCTGTCCCTACATTTCGGAAACGCCATTCTCATTGAAACATGCAACACTGTAAATTACAGGGCTACCAATCGGATCACGCGTCAAGTTACGATGAACGGACAATATGCGTTTTATGCGAAAATTGTGCATTTCAAAACTAGTAGAGGACTACATTTATCATGGGCAGGTGCAGTGTAATAAGCTGCCGGATGAAAAACAGGAATACGCATCAAAATATTACTTTGCATAGGTAAGTAACCCAGTTCTTTTCCATAATGATCTAATGATAATATACGCGATAAAATCCGTAAAAATTAATATTATTTAAATGTGTAGTGTTCGCATAATTATAAGAAATCATTATGATGTAATGTTTTTCTATCATTATTTAGTGATCGAATATCACTACGGTTCGGCGTTTTCAATATATCGATATATCGATAGATGAATAGTACCTATTTAAAGACGATTTCTTTTTTGTGGTTTTAGATTACCAGTGTGAGAAACAAAAAGAAAAGTGGCTGAATATACTTGGTGTAGAAAACCTCAACACCAAAACTAAACACATTTTTATTTGTTCGCTACATTTTGAAGAAAAATGTTTTAATCGAACTTTAAATGTTACAAGGCTGCGCGATGATGCTTGGCCTTCAAGCGAGTTGTTGGTAAGTGGTAAAATGCTTACGCAGTATGGCTGCAGGCCTGTAAGCTCTGACAGCGCGCGACATGTTATACTCCCGTTCGCTCGGGACCGTAATGGCGGCAAAATTTGAAAATTAGCAAATTTTTTGCTATATTGCAAATTTTGCTATATTTTCACTTTGAGACAATATTTATGGATAAAACTTACAGGAATTCTTGTTGAATGTATAAACTATCGAATAAAATTATTTTTGGTTGCTAGAAATTGTAATAAAATACGTAAATTACACTGTATAGCTGTATAGTGGTATATACTTCAATTTTAGTGACAAAATTACTACTAATTTGAATTCTACACTTTTGTTTTTAGAGAAATTTATATGAAAATGTTTGGAAATATGTATATTTTTATGTTTTATGTGTTTCCATTCGTTACTCATACCAAAATATAAAATATAAAGAAATTAAATTATTAATATTTTATCTGTGTGACATTTAGAACAATATTTCTAAAATAGTTTTGTGTGAATTTGAAATAAATACAACGTCAAGTTGATGTAAGAAAACTGTTTTTACTTACATTTTACACTAAAAATAAATGAGAATGTGAAAAATACCACATTTATGACCCAGCCGCCATAATGGGCCTGCCAGATTTTGAAGCACTTTTGGCAATTTACTTTTCACTTTTTATACCACAAATTATATATATATGTGTTCACTATATTACAAGGAATATAAAAAAGTATAATACTTTCGTTTTTAGTCCAGACATAAATATAAAATTCTATAAAAAAGACGGAGCACCTTTATCAAAACGGCACGTGGAACGCCGAAAGTTCAGAGTGATTTCTTTTTTTTTTTTTTCTAAGAAACATTGCCAGGTTATGGTTTAAAATAAAAGAGCATATCTTTGTCTTTGATACTAATATCTATTGCATAGTGTCTTTGGTTTTGTTTAAAACGAAAAAATAGTTTTTTCATAGGTAGACATGTTTACATAATTCTGATCTAATTCGATCACTACTTGGCGGGCGTAAGGTTGGTATTGCGCGATCGAATGTGAGCTAGGCTTGGTTAACAGGCAAAAAAAATTCCAAACATATATTTGTATTTTTATAGTTACCAGCTCAATTTGAAAATTGTAAGGAACAAGAATCTGTTTCTCGCAAGGTGTTGGTAGAGAAACCTAGCTACAGCACTTCTAACTATGCAGAGGTAAATTATGCTCATTTCCTAAGAGAGTGCGGTGCTGTGGGGAACTAAAAAATCTTGACAACATTTTAATAAAAACTTACAAAATATTTATTAATATTTTTATTTGTCCTTTACAGTTATCATCAGCCCAATTTAACAAGTGTGAAGAACAAAAATCCGTTTCTCACATAGTACGAGAAGAGACGCCAGCATTTCTAGCTATGTAAATGTTAGTATGATATTTCATAAATTGTGTTACTTTCTAGGTATAGAATCTGGACTTTTAAATACAAATTCACTTAATATTAAAATATATTATTGTTTATTTTTCTTTAACAGTTACCAGCCCCATGTTACAGGAGTGAGAAGCAACAAACTGTTCCTCACAAAGTATTTGGAAAGAAACCTGTTTGCAACACTAACTTTATTGAGGTGTGTTATTTTCACATGTTTTTAACATATAATCTTAAAGAATTTTAACCAACCACATTAAATGTAGGTAGATGAACTGCTTCTTGTAAAATATTCATCATGAGTTGGATCGATAGCCTATTTTTCTTTTTATTGAAACTTACAAAATTAAAAGAAAAATACTTAGAACACTTTCTTTGGTTTTGTAAATGTATTTTTTTTTCAGGATCAACAGTTTAAAATAATCCAAAAACTTAAGACGAAATGTGAAGATCAAAGGAAAAAAAATTAAAAGACTAAATGAAAAATGAGGAGACAAAGTAAGAAAATAGCTGATTTTAAAATTAGATTATAAAGAACAAAAACTATGTTAATGATGATCATGCGACTGTGTTGGAGCAGTGCGCAGGCCCCAAAGATTTTCTTAAGAGACAAATTTCTAAATCGTTAGGATTGCCTATGAAAAGGCAATACAGCGAAGAAGTTCGAAAATTCTCATTGACGCTTCACTTTCTGTCTCCAAAGGCCTAAGTTTTTAAGTAGGTGAAGAACTTTAAATAGGTGGTACCAGAATGTAAACGCTGAGTCTGATTTTTGTAAAGTAGCTTTTAATGCTTTGAAACTCAAAGCTCAAACAAGTGAGATGCCAGTGCTATGTTCTTTAGTGTTAGATGAAATGGCTATCAGAAAGTGTCTTTGCCCAGCAACCGTTTGATCCTCAAACTAAGACTTATTATGGAAGAGTTAACGTGGGCACTGACTGTGATATGGACTCACTAGAAGTAGCCAATGAGTGTCTTGTCTTATTCCTGACCTGTATAAATGGTAGTTCGAAGTTGCCTGTGGGATACTTTTTTCATAACAGCTTTGTCTAGGGAACAAAAAGCAGTACTAGTAAAAATATGCATCCACAAATGTGAAGAAGTAGGCGTCAAAGTGTGAGGTTGACCTGTGATGGTTCAGCTGCAAATTTTAACATGTTTTCAACATTAGGATGTGATTTCAATTCAAGCAAGACGACTTTTACTTATAGTAACAGCATCGGACACGCTTTTATTGATACCTGCCATGCTATCAAACTAGTCCAAATGCTTTCGGAGAACTAAGAGTGTTTTGTGATATTTATGGCAGGAAAATTAATTACATCTATCTGGAACATCTGCTAAATTTGCAGTAAGTAGCAGGACTGCATATGGCCACGAAATTGACAAAAGCTCACGTATTTTATCAATAAATAATGAAGGTAATTGCTTCTTAGTGACTCGGTGGCAGATGCTTTGGAGCATTGTAATAATTTAAAATACCGGTATTTCAAGGATGTGAAGGCACAATTAACTTTATTAGGTTAATAAACAATGTTTTTGATGTGTTGAACAACCGATCAATTAGACCATCGGTGTGGAAAAAGGCTATTTTCTCTGGGAACATTGGTTTGGTGGAAGCTTTATTCGAAGGCGCTATAAGCTACCTTCAAAATCTGACGTTGCCATCTGGGCAGAAACTTGTAGATACCAGAAGAAAAACCGGCTTTGTAGGGCTTCTGGATATGATTAGTGCAATCCAACTCTATAAATATTTGATTGAGGGTACCAAACATTTACAGTACTTGTACAAGGTCAGCCAGGACAATTATACAAGGTCAGCCAGGACCACCTCGAGTTGTTTCAGCACACGAGGTGGCTTCAATAATAACCCAAACGCGGTTCAATTTAGGGCAGCTTTTAAAAGATTGTTGATAAGAGCTGAAATTAGGGATGCGGGCCTTGGTAACTGCCTACCCCTGGAGCAAATTGATATACTGACCTGCTCTTGTAAGACTAACCCAGTCACGGCCATAAACGATTTGACAGAAAGAAATTCATTTGATGAATTGCCTGAGGATGATAGTGAGTTATACGAAGAATTTATTCATTGCATGTACAACAACCTACCCAACTATTCCGACAGCGTAGTTACTTATATTGCTGGTTTTGTATCAAGAAAATTGGCGCGGTCTATAAAATGCGATATTTGCGCAAATTTGTTGTTTGCCGATCACAAAGACTATCAAAAAATTTAATAACTTTAAAGAATAGGGGTGGGCTGATTTACCCATCAACAGACGTGAAGCGCACTCTGATTAAAGTGGAAAAAATCTTAAAGGGTATTTTTAGAAACAACTGCGGTCTGAGCAATATTACCTCCATGTGTTCCGATTTTTAATGGAACATTTTGATGAAGCGAATTTGTTTAAATCAAACTGCGAACATGACACGACACACAGACTTTTACTTATTAAATCCATAGTCCAAACCTATATGGATCTGAGGTTTTAATACTTTGGAAAGAAAATAACAGAAAAGATTTCATTTCGAAATTATTTTAATAAAATTATATTATTTCGTAATGAGTAAGTGCGGGTAATTTACGTTTGTAATAAATCTTTTAAATGGAAATTTCAGTTTTATTAAGCAGTAGCGTCCGCCCGAGGTATCTTCTTATTCTATCTCTCGGGACTATATGTTAATTCAGGTACTAAACTATTTGTGTACCAAATTATCACATTTAAACTGGTCTGATACTTTTGGCGTGATTGAGGAACAAACAAACATTCAAACTTTTGCATTTATTATAGTTTGATTAGTGTGAGTGTGATGACTGAGCCTAATTTATTGTCTAACAAACAATCAAAACTCTTTAATTAGTATTTCTTGTTTAGTCATTCCTGAGAAACAATTGTAACATAAATAATAGATAGTTACATTATAAAAGCAAAACAAAATGACTACTTAAAAGTAATGAACTGAAAACATAGGAACTTATATATATTTCAGTAATGTCCTTTTAATTTTCTTTATTTTGATATCCCTATCGATAGGTTGAGTAAAAAAAATTAAGGACTTACAATTTGTCATCCGTCATATCGATTTAAAAAAAAACCTATCTAAGAACACTCGGGTGTTTGAGACGAATCACAATCTTAGAATCTTTTTTCAAATAAGCACCACATTATTGATATTAAGTATAGTGAGCGACACTACCTCAAGCCGCCATCTTTGTGCCAGACTCAATTTAGGTATACACGTTTTTTTCGTAGGTATGTCATGTCCTTTCTTTTTTCTCTAGTCAAAGATCTTTTATGAACCATAGTTCCTTTTTTTTAAACACTTTTTTAATCGGTCAAGTATTTTAAATTACTATTCTAACCTAACGAGATTGCTTCGGCCTATTAATTTAAGAGTTGATGAAGTTATAATCTTGATAATTGGTGTAAGCTTGTTAACCGTGTTAGTTATAATAATTTCAGAATGTGTGCGTTAAAATATTCATAGAACACTACAAAAGGTAATAAAACACAATTGTAATTCAAGCTAAAATGTTCCTTGTATTTAAGATAATCTAAAATTCACAAATTTATTATTTTCAATGATGATCAGCCATTAAAAAAGGCCCCAACCAACAAACGTGCAAACGTACATAATATAATATGTATTTTGAGGTATATAATATTTAACCACTCTCTACATTTTATTAAATAATGAAATTTATCGCTACAAAAACGCTACTTATTATGAGGTATTTGTTTATAAATGTTTACAATAACGACATGGTATAAATAGATACATTTATATGGCAACATTGGTGTTAATGAGTAGAAAACAGAGCAAGATATGATATTACCTTTATTGTTTAGTAACTGAACACTACCCAAGTTAATCGTGGGAACGCCTGGTAACAATTTTCATAGATTGTGAAGCAGATAATTTATTTTTAATAATAATATTTTTAAGTAATTTATACTTAGCATTCGTATTTAAAATCTGAGAAGAAAATTTCTTTTTAGTAGTGATAATATTTTTTCAGGACCAGATTTTTTTCATAGAAGTATTTCGAATATCAGCACATACCTAACGTACTGATATACGAAATACTTCTATGAACACTACAAATTACTGAATTGAAATATTATTCAAATGTTAAAGAAGTACGTTGATGTAATATAATACAGATTTGTATTTATTGCTGCTTAGAAATATCAAACAATACAATAAGATTTATTTTCATAGTTAGAATACGAAGCACTTATTTTATATCACAATTTTTAAATATCTGTGGTTTATCGTGATAATAATGTCTAGGCACTGCTTATTTAAACTCAAGTCACTACAAAGTCACTACACAGTCTAAAATTGGAATAACTCTTGGTGTTTGTAATTATTTTGTATAAAACGTGCAACTACATTATGTTTGATAAATATTAGTACTGTAAAAAATTAACTCAAACATTTAGTAAGAAATAAAACAAAAAATGAAATAAAAAATATCTTTACTACGAACATACACGACATAATATATACCATGCAACATAATTATATACATAATACGTTTATATACCCGTTTCGTATATTGGCTAAAACACAAAAAATACGAGCAAATTTAGTAATTAAAAAAAACAAGTGAAATAATTTAAATGCAACGTAATGCACCTTCATGACAAACAACACCTTTGTCTAAGCAATGAAATTAACAAAAGAAATACAGAACACGACCACAACATGTTTTTTAGAGATAACTTTACAAAAATATGTGATTTTTTACGTGCACATGATTCTAATGATATTAAAATGACACACTTCAAATTTTTGGCAAGAAAATAACTTTAGCATCTAAAATTCACTTAAATTCTACACCAACTTATTTTCTACTATTATCACAAACTATTTTCTCACATTAACAACTGGTCATGGTGTTAGAAAAATATTTCATATTGCTTTGACGTCATGTGACGGTTCTACCATCCGGAGCACAACAATTTGTTTAACAATGTGCATTATCTGCCAATTTTCCGTGAACACAATAGAAATAAGAATTTTCAATTCACGTGTTAATATTTTCTTTGCTGAAACCAAAAGAGAAAGACTATTTTCTTGCTTTCTTTACGAGGCCGTAAAATTTATTGCTGGACGCAGACATATGCACGTAAAGCCCTATTGTTGGTTGCAAATGATTTCAAATGAATATGTGTACGTCAGTGTGTTCTTATAGTAACTTCAACATGGTTTTGGTTTATTTTTACGTCATTCGAAATGCAGCACTCTGTCTTTCTTTCTTTGTGAAAGATTGCGAATAATTACTTTAAACAGTAGATGAAAAAAACTGACGGGGCAACAGTTAGCTGCCTTAAATTAGATCTTTATAAGTTTCATAATAAACATATTTTGTTGCGGAATCTCCGTGAAAATGTCCATAATGCTTAAATGGTATT